CCTAAATCTCTGAACACTTGTCTATATTAGTCATTTTACTACTGAGATATATGACAAAGAAATCACTCAGGTGTGTGAGTGTTTGCAAGAAGGAGCATCTTTGTTAAGTGCAACTGATTAGCAATATACTATAAAGAAAATTCCTCCTGTGAAAGTATCATTATACTACTTTAGATGGACCAGATATGTAGAGACATAATCCATCACTAGGAATTGTGCAAGGGAGAGGCTTAAAGGCAGGAAGGCCCTGCAGAGAGAACTCCACAAATTAGAGGACTGGGCAATCACCAACCATATGAAATTTGACAAGGAAAAGTGGCAGATTCTGCACCTGGGATGGGGCAACCCTGAATGTTCATACAGAATGGGAAATGAGAGGCTGGAAAGCAGTGCCAGGAAAAGGGACCTGGGGGTCCTGATCAATGGGCAAGTTGAATATGAGTCAGAAGTACCCTGGCAGCCAGGAGGGCAAACCCTGTCCTGGGGGCATCAGGCAAAGCATCTCCAGCTGGTCAAGGGAGGGGATTGTCCCTCTCTGCTCTGCACTGTGGTGGCCTCACCTTGAATATTGTGTGCAGTTTTAGGCACCACAATATAAGAAATATATTAAGCTCTTAGAGAGTGTCCAAAGGAGGGCAACGAAGGGCCCTTGGTGAAGCGCCCTGAGGGGAAGCTGTATGAAGAGCAGCTGAGGTCACTTGGTCTGTTCAGCCTGGAGGAGACTGAGGGTAGACTTTATCACACTCTACAACTTCCTCATGAGGGGAGGAGGAGGGGCAGCCACTTTTCTCTGTGATGACCAATAACAGGACCCAAGGGAATGGCCTGAAGTTGTGTCAGGGGAAGTTTAGGTTGGATATTGGAAAAAGGTTCTTCACCCGGAGTTGGTTGGGTGCTGGAACAGGCTCCTCAGGGAAGTGGTCACAGCACCGAGCCTCACAGAGGTTAAGAAGTGTTTGGACAAGACTCTCAGGAACATGGTGTGACTCTTGGGAATGGGCCTGTGCAGGGCCAGAAGCTGAACTGTATGATCCTTGTGGGTCCCTTCCAACTCAGCATATTCTGTGAAATATCTTTGAAATGTGGTCATTTCTGTGCTCCTATTCCATCACAACCTGTAGTATCTTAAGCACTTTTACTTTTGACATTTAATCCAGCACAGATGTAGAAAACTCACTTGTCTGAGGCTAAGATTTCCCATATAGCACTGCTATAATTGGTGGGAGACTTGGATCAGGGGACTGATCTTGCTAAGACTTAATTTATTAATTTGGGTTTTTTTCTAAACAAATATGAATATCAAGTTGCATATGAGTGAATGTGAGGCATATGAGGCAATGTCTTCATTGCAAACAGGTAAAGTCCATGTTGGGCTATGCCAGGATGAGTAGGATGGGCAAGGTGAGGAGGTTTATTGTTTCTTTCTGGTGCTGGTGAGGCTGCACCTGGAATACTGTGTTCAGTGGCTGTGGCTCCCTGCTTCCGCAAGCACAGGGAGAAAATGGAGTGAGTCTAGCAGAGGGCCCTCTGGTCAGAGTAGTTGAAAGAGCTGGGCTTATTTAGTCTGTTAGGGTGAAGATCCATAGTGGGTTACAGCTATTTGAAGGAGAGTTGCAGACAGGATGGAGCTAGAGTCATTTTGGCAGTGCTGAGTGATGTAACAAGGAAGAATGGCCACAAACTGCAGCCTGAGATGTTCAAGTAGGGTCCAATAAGGCTGATGCAGCACTGGAGCAGACTGCTTGTTGAGGTTGTGGAATCTCCATCCTTGGTGGCTTTCAGGACTTGACTATTAATCCACAGCTGAACTGAACTTTTGTTGGCAACAGCCCTGCTTTGCTCTCAGTGGGAGGCTGAGCTATATGACCTCCAGAGGTCACCTACAATGAACATTTCTCTTTTGCAGTGAATGTTATTATGAAGATGCAGTCTCAGACCTCTTACTACATAAAAAAATGAATGCGTTCTTAAAAAAAAGTGATTTATTGATTTATCTCATGCTACATATGTTTCTAAGGCAGATTAGATGCCTGTTTCTTTCTGCTAATTGGTAAATTTTTTTAAGACTACTTTAGATTTTGAACACTGATACTGAGACACTCAGTCTTGGGTGAGATGCATCTAAGCCTAAAAAATGTAATTTCACTGGATGGAGTGGTAACTTTTTATACCACTGTCATGTCCTTCATTGCTATCATTTCTCCCCAGAAATGAAATTTAAATAGAAAACTTTTAAATTAATACAGGTGCTTAGTATTGAGCTGCCTTGCAGAAAGACCTTTTCTAACAAGATACAGCAACTTCATTACAGAGAAAAGAAGTTAAAATGAGTGTCAAGTCATAGCTTCTTTACAGAATTTTAAGATTTATGTATTTCTTTATAATGTTAATCTACAAATAATTGAGTGCCATGTGTATGTTTTATGTGATTTTAGTTTTGGAAACTTAGGGCATGCAATCTCTTAGCAATAACCATAGAACATACAGATCTAAAGAGACTATATAGAGAAATAATTATTTCTCTCTCACACACAGAGGCTTTGTGGAAAACAGAGCTCTGTACAACCTCCTTGTCATGTTGTTCACATGCCTAGTAGCAGCGATTGTGTTTTTGTTTGTCACTCAATCTGTATGTGTCAAGCACAACAAAAAGGGTATCTTGTCCTCCCCCACAGTGGCAAACTACAGTGGGGAAATCCTTAAACAGAGGCTTACTGGTGAATCATCCACATCCATAAAGCCTGCTTCTTACCAGTGTAGAAAGAGAGGTGCTGCTGTCAGTTTGAAATGATTCTCAGCCTCTGTAAGGCATACACTGATGAATTAAAACAACCCTCCCCCATGAACTCTCCTCAGGTATGCTGAGATAGGGGAAGAAACATCTGGGTCCCATAGAGATGGGACCTTAAAGAAACATCTGAAAGAATTCCAACAAAGCAGTGGTCTGGCAGGGATAGTGCTGACACTTCTCTAGCTTTTGTACAACTTTCTGGCACCAGTCATAGCTGCAAGCCCTTATTTTGCAGGTAGACTATCTAGCCTGCTGCAGACTTGCAATATTGGCACTAATTTATGTTTATGGCAAAAAAGAGGGAAGCTAGTAATTTGTACTCTTGAGTGGGGACTTTTGGAAGTGTTTTGAGCTGCAAAAAATGTCAGGCAGACTCTTTGGATTGTAACAAACCAGTGAAGCAGTTGTTAGCAGAACACAGACGATCAGAAAAAAGTCAGAAGTTCAGAAACCAAGTCTTGGCTTGTTCTTCCTTATCAATCAGGATAATAAACTTCACACAGGCAGGCAGGCAGCCTATCTCAGTAAAACCTCAGAAAGTCTTTGAATTAAAAGTGAAAATAAGATCTTCTGAGTTGCTTCCTCTGCATCACTGGCTTGTGGCAAGTGCATTTTTTCAGCAATAAAAGAAACTGGCCTGAGTTACCAGAGACCAGGCTTTTTATACTTTTCATTGGAGGTTTTCTCATGTCTGATGTTAGGGTGCTGTTTTCAGTTTATCAGATCTGCTGGAGCATTAGTGAGTCGTTATCAATACACTGTTCAGCTACAAGTTTCATGGTGCTGCACTGCATCGAATTTAATTCCTCTCAATCATGCAACTTTATGCTGTTCTAGGAATTGCGATCCACCTATCAGCAGCAGAGCTGCCTGATAAGCTTATTTTTTCTCATTCTTTTCCCTCATGCACGCTACAGCATCTAGCAGTAGTAAAACCACAATGATTAACATGTTTAAAATAAATGAAAGATGTAGGGTCAAGTGCCATTACAACAGTGGGCTGCTATGAGACAGCTTCTTATCTGTATGGAGAAAGTACTTCTAAATAACTGTCAGTGTCACAGCAGCGCTATAAAGGTCAATCTGTTCAGTGCATATGTTTCATATTCTATTTTTCTGGCTTTTTTTGCCTTTGAGTCAAGATCACAGCTAAAGTCCAATCTTCTGTTAGTTATTCAAGATGGAGATAATTTCAACAAGCTTTTGTATTGGATTTTTATATACCAGGCGTGTTAAACTGCTTTTTGTAGTAATTGTATATAAAATTATATACATGCACATGTGTGAGCCTGCATATATATATATATATATATTTACTTCAACTGTTAGAGATGTCATTTTTCAGCTGAGTGTTAAAATGGAGATTTCAGAGATCTGTGATTTAAAATATACTGTGCTTTCTTGTTCTAGTAGGACTTTTACAAGTATATCAGAATTATCTGCCAACATGATTACATTCCCTGTGATTTCAATTGATTCGGGTATTTGGATTCTAAACGAGAGCTTTCTTCTACAGCTTGATACTAACTCCTGAAGCAGCTTGGTTTTAAGGGATACTTCAAAATATTTCCTCCATGTGTGTATATATTTGTACATTATGCAAAATAATTTTTAAGACAGCCATCTCCAAACAGTGTTGTGTGGATAAAATAGTAATTGCACATTTAGAGATTGTCTATTTCTTATGATGGAATTTTATTTCCTTCATTTCTGTACTTGAATATTTTGCAGAGTATAACTGCATATTTACATGACTGTTTGACTTTTCTGGCCTGGGAGGACTTGGGATTCTTTTATGGGAAGGGAATATAACAACTCTGTCACTATTACTGTTTGCTACCTCCAAAAATAAAATATTAGGAGGCTTAAACTTTCATTCGAGTGACTGTTGTAATTGCAGTATGGTATATATGAAAATACAAAAAAGTCACGTGGAAGCAAAACGTCCTGATACACGAAGGCATTTAGCTGCAGTTTCTGAAGGTGATAATTATATAAATGTAACTAAACTTTTATATAGTTCTGTTTTAAAATTCTTCCTGCAGAAACTCCTTTTTGAAGATTATTTTGCAGCCGTTAAGAAATGTGTGCTGAAAATAGAATTGCATTTTTCATGCTAACTTTGAGTTCTCTTAAGTTTTGTTATATTTGGATATAATTGTGACATCTTAAAATAAAGAAATTATAATTTTCTATTTTTTTTTTGCAGAGTCACAGTGTACACTCTGTGGGGAGCCTGAAGGTGAGTGTGTTTTCACACTAATGTTTTTCAAAGCAGCTAGAGGTGAACACTTGACTCAACACGCATGTACAATAGTTTGGAAATATTACATGAATAATGAAAAACAAGGAAAGACATTCTTCCCATGGTTAGATACGAAAAATGAATTGAATTAAGCTGAGAAAAGCACAGTACATGCTCCAGGCAGGAAATACCTTAAAGGACAAATATTCTATTAGAGCAAAAATTGAAATATGTATTTCTTATTCTTTTGAGTGTTTGTCAAATTAATTTTGGGGTACGAGAGAGTGCAAAGACACTTTTAAGGACATCAATTTGAGGATGGAAAACAAAGATAATGGACATAAAAGGGAAATGAAAAAATGTTTTTAGATTTGATATTGCATTTACAGAGAGGCTAACACATTTCAGCAGGTGAGGTAAATTAATACAACTTCTGAAATTAAGATAATTAAGCAATAACTTATCCAGTACAAATATATGCCCACATGACAGTACTTGGTGATTTGTTTTGTTTGGTTTTTTTCCCAAGTGACTAATTAAATGCCAAGGTGAGACCCACAATTTACCTAAATGAACGCTGAAGCAATGAGATTACGATTTTTAAAGCAGCCTATTTTTGAGGAAAATATCTCTAATTTATTTATTTAACATTGGTGCTGTTATAAAGAAAAGGTTGAAAGGCTGACCTTAGTTTCAAATCAACCTGGAGTCTTTCTAAGAAACGGAGTTCAAAATAGCAAATGTAAATGCTGGAGGAAAGTATATTAACTAAAAAATAAAATTATAGATGCTAGGCTGTCCCCAAACACATTCAGCTTTATATCTTGAATAATTTCTGAAAAAAAAAAAATTAAGCTTCTAATGCTTTATAAATTTAGGAGATATTAGTTATTAGGAGAGGAAGCCTGGAAGTGGAAGGCTTTTAGAGCTTGCATCTAATGAAATAACGCAGTAAATTAAATATTAATTATCTGCTTCTCCCTTGTTATCTACTGAGAAATAATTGTTTTAGACAAATTTTTTTACTGCATTCTGATTTAGAAATTTTTTTGACTGCATTCCTTTAATAAACAGTCACTTCCTGATTTTTTTTCATTTTCTTTGTCCTTTATGTGATAAATTTATAATAGCACAAATACATATATGAAAAGGAAAAATAAGATAGATGTTTGTTTGCCTTTCATGACAATCTTTCCTGCTAAGATTATCCAGTGTTAAAGTTATTCATTGAATTAGTTCTGGTTTATTACATGCTGTGCCTCCTTTCTTTTTTTTATTACTGCTCTTTCATACCTGTTCAGCTTTGCAAAAATTAATAACTGTAAGTGGACTTTGTAGAAAGGGAATTCCAAAAAAAAAAGAGGGGCAATAAATTTTTTTAACATTTGTATTAATGAAAACTCGCAATCAAATGATAAATATATATTGCTGTAGGAAAAGGCCTCAAGAACATAACATTCAGTTTTTAACTATTTTGAAATGAACTTTCCCAGGAGTGAATGTCTGATGGATCACCAGTCTCTCCTCTCAAACACAGTATTACTGGAATGCTAATTAAGTAATGATCTGCCTCAATTTTAAAAATATTGACGTAAATGTCATAGTGAATTTTTTTCCTTACCAGATTAGCTTAAGTTCTGATCTAACACTGAACATTCATAGAAGTTTTGGATGTGATTTTGTGATGAAGAAGCAGTTTCTCTATAGATATGGGTTTAATTTTTAGAAGGCCATTGTAAGAGAAACCTCACATCTCTGTTGTATAAACAAAAAAACAAAAAAAGAAACCTCAAAAAATATGATTTTCCTCTGCAACATTTTATAAATTTTGCTATGGTTTCATAGTAGACTAAGACAAGGGAAGAACTAAAAAAATCAAGTTTTTGCGGTGTTCTATGTGGAATTTCTGACTTCTCTGTAGCCTTCTTCAGAAGTTTTACATTGTGTAGTTTGCATTTTTTGTATCTGAGGAAAGTTCAGAGAATATCAGTTAATGTTAGATACTGTTTGCCTCCTTTTTTCCCTTCTCCTTTTCAGAAACAAAATCAAAGTTCACTAAGTACTTTAGTATATTAAGATGAATTTGCAAAATTGTAGGACAGACACGCCACAGTGTAGACCTTCTGTATTAATTTCCAAAGTGGAGAGACTCATTCAAGAGCAGAGACTCAATCAAGAAATAGTAGATGTGAGGAAATCTCTCTGGCTTGGGAGAGAAGACAATGCTTCACATCTTACCTCTTCTGAGTTCCTCTGCCATTTCTTGAAAAAACCTGCAGGCAGCTAGGGTTGAGTTTCTGATCATCTTCTGCCTTCTGTAAGAGAGATGGCAGAATGGAAGTGTTTTGCAAGCCACATGTTCTGATAATCAAATTGGTCATCTGCAGTCTCACTGCTCTTATTATGGTTCATCCTTTCTCTGACCATCACTCCCCCTTCAAAACCAGCAGTTTTGTTCTGGATTATCAGTATATTGAAGTGTAATTAGCAAATGACTGTGTAAAACAGAGCTCTTCACTTGGGGCCCTTTGATAACTTTTTGGCAGTAGATGCTGCTCTGTAGGAAGCAAATGCGTTTTATCTGCATATGTGATATTGCACAGGTATGGGTAATGTGGGTCCATATTTTATAAAGTGAAAAATACCAGATTTGGAAGCGAGTATGAGTATGAGGGTACAGATTTCTCGTTTCAGTGTTTTTCCTGGGGAACTTGTGGTTCCACAGGCAATGTGTCATGTGTCTTCCTTTGCATCCCTTCTAAAGAGAATGATGGACGATACTGAAGTCTCCATTTGAGAATCAGTCTTTTGTATAAGCTGTATGTTTTCTGTTTCAAAAATCATGGGTTTGCTCTGTTATTGCAAAGTATGTTAGCCACCATTCCTGTCAGTGTGGGATGTTTGAAGATCACGAGGCCTATTTTATACCGGGAGGAAACTAAAGTTGCAGAATCCCATTAGTGTGGCTAATTCGAGCTGATCCCTCTTCTGGAAATACAAGAGCAGCAATGATGTGTTTTCAGACAGGTGGCAACAGCCACCTTTGCAGAAGTGATCTGCAGTTGACAGATTGTGTTATCCTGTAAACATTGTAGGGTTGTTCTTCTTTGCCTTATTCCTGCTCAGATTTTAAGTGAGGACAGCATGTTTTAGACAAGTGTCTAGCTCAGTCTTTGTGACAGCCAAAGTATTCTGTTAGAAAGACTGGAGGAGTCATGAGAAGTTTCAGTTATCCCCATTAATACTCTAGCAGATGTTTCTGTTCTTTCTAAATCTTTGTATCTATTCACAGGTTTTGAAAGGATTATATTATCAAATATAATTTTCTATGTTACCAAAGCAGAAAACAAGTCATTTTGATGGCAGCTAAGACTTCAGTAGACTATTCTGTCTTCTCAAAGCCTATGCAAAGGGAAGCTTTTCTTCCAGGCATTTTTAATATCCTTCACAACTCCAGAAGTGATTTACTCTTTCTGTAATTTCTCCAGGTAGTTCAGATTCTTCCTCAGTGTCTCAGATCTCTTTTGGGCTGTGCTATGCACAACAGTTTGAATTAAGATGCCCATTTTTTTTTGCCAGTAACTGGCACAAGAAGTGGTTGGTGGGTTCAAGCTTGTGGTAGCAAACTTAGAATAGTGACTCTCCATTAAGTAGTAAAATAAATGTGAGACCTATTTCTTAATATATCTCACATTGCACATTGGGGTCTTTTTCCCAAACTTGTTATTTCGTTAAGTTAAACAGTTAGTAGTTCATACAGCCAATGCATAGATACTGCATGAGTCCAAGTGTCAAAAGATTGAGAAAGTTCTGACATTTGTATTTTATCTGACAAATCCGACTGTCAGAAAATTAAGATTTACATTTTCAAGCTAAGATGCAAAAAAAATTTTGTATAAAATTATTATATGTAAGTAAATTTGTGTAAATTTTAATCAAAGTTACAAGAATGCTAGATAATGTCACTCGTTCACCCATACAGAAGTTTATGCCAATTAATTGTAGAAGGGATTTTAATATGATTAATAGTGGAGGATGGGTTTAATTTTTTTTTTTAATTTTATTTTCATTTAGTAAAAGAAGTTTTAAATGCTCTGCAAGAAAAACAAATTGTACAATTTAATTGTTTGCTCACAGGATGCATAAAGTAGAATTTGGGAAATATAAGGAATATAAATAAATAATTTACAGTAACAACAAAAAGCTCATATTTTCCTTGATGAAAAAAATGCCTTTTTCAGCTATGTCAGTGTTGGAGTGGTGTATTTATTTCAGGTACTATCAGCTTTGCCACCCTCTGTGCTCTGTATAATACTAGGGTGTTGGAGTTTGTGGGGGAAATAAGCCTGGGTTTTTGCTTTGTTTTGTTGGTCTGTTTTATTTTTGTTTTGTTTTTATTTTTTGTGGGTTTTTTAATAAAGAATCTGGAGAGTAGGTAGTTCAGAAAAAAATACCTTAAGCTTGGCAATATGTCTTAATATTGATGATGTTCCATCTGTGTAGTTCTGGCTCTGAATATAAACATCTCCCAGGGTATCTAGTGGAAAACTATTACAGGCATATTAATAACTCCAGAGAATTTTCCTAATCTTCATTTTACTAATCTTAACATTTAGTAATCCACACTGAGAACTGACAGTTTTTCCACTGTTAGCAATGACTTTCAAGAGTCCTGTAGTCTTAACTTTTTTATACTTCTGCTGTATTTACCGGACCGACAATTATCAGTAATAAAATTAAAATTGTCTAAGGAAGCAAAGTACATTTCTCAACACATAATCCTGGAATTTTTAAGGAAACAATAACAGATCATAACATCTACTTTGTCTAATTTTAATATTTCTCCTTTTCTTGCTAATTATTTAGAAAAATAAATCACAGTTGCTTCTTCAAATAAGAAAGTATGTTATTCTGTATATATATCACTGAAATGCTTAAATAGTCTATGGTTCCTGCTATCAACATAATAATAATTTGTAATTATTGCTTGAAGTGAT